CTACTCTTCATTCCTGGAAGATTCTAGAGAATCTCTCATTTTAAAACTCTCAGTCTTTAGGACACTGGGTAAATCTAGGCCTGAGTGAAATCAGTGGGAGTTTTGCCATTGATTTCTGCATGGCCTGGATTTCAACCCACCCCCCATATAGAATCTGAGAAGGCAGCAGCTGGAACTGAAAAACTCTAGTTCACACAGGGCCACTCAAGCACTTTCATTAGGCAGGCTGGGCAAACTAGATTTAAAGTTAAGCTTCATTTTTTGCTTCCTTCGTTGCTTGTTATTTTAGACAAATCTGCACTCAGAACTTCAGGCAATTACAGTTTCAGGAAGATTTACATTTGACAATTTCAGGAATGTACACAAGCATGGTAATCAGGTTTTCTGACTTTGGGATAAGTGAAGAGTAGATGGAAAGGGAATTTACAGATGCAAATAAAATCCATGAACAGTAATACTTTTTTATATAGCTTTATATATTACCTCAGAACTTTTCCAGCTTTACATGTAAACTAGCTTATGGATTTAAATTTCAAACATTTGAGAATATTCTTTGGATCTGCACTCATTTACAAATCTTAAAACCACTTCTGTTTAAAGAAAAATGAATGCAGTGAAGTCAACTTAGAAACACTGCCTGTCAACATTTGCTTCTTACCAAAATGTGTTCTACTTCAATAAATAACCATTTTCTCTGAGTTTACAGCAATTATATTTCTCACCAGCAGAGAGAAAAATGGAAGTCAACAGCAGCCCTCCCATACAAGTTACATTGCAGTATTCTCTATACTCACTGGCACCAAGCAGAGGATTGTTGGACTCAGCACACCGTGCTTATACTGCCAAAAGGAAGGAACTTCACTCCAACCTCTTCGCATTTTAAATGATTTCCTTCCACTCATTACCTCAGGATTTACATACAATGTTAAAGGTCTTTGGGTAAAGAAAAAGACTGCACAGCAAACCAAAAAGATAAATGTGTACTTACAATTTCTAATGAAGCATGTATTCGTCCAGACAAATGAAACTAACAGGACCATAGCGCCTTAAAAAACTGGTGCTACATAACAATTTAGAGAGCTACAATTTGATATTCACAGAATCCAATCTATATGGCACATTTTTCCACAGATGATTTCTTTTAGCATTCCAGGTGAACTTTAACCTGTTAGGCCAACAATTTCTTCAGGCAGGGATTTTTAATTTTTCATGAACACATTGGTTTAATAAAGAACTTGGCATTAGTTATGGCTTTTGAATTAAAATGAGCACAGCCTCACAACATTAAATTTTAAACCCACCATCTAATCCATTAATTTTGACCATCTTATTTTTGTACAGTGTTAGCAAGTATTAGCAACTAAGTGCATATTTGATTGGGTATGAGAATGAAAAGTTAGAACAATAAAACTTATTTTTGAAAGTCATTGAAGAGAACAGTAATATTTTATACAGTGACTGAACACAGAATGAAAGCCAAAAACAAATGTGCTGTTCAGATAAACATTTATCTGACATCAAATATCACATTATCCTTGATCATAGGTTCAGCTCCTTTATGAACTTAATACATAGTACACTTCCCACATATTACTCCTTATCTGTATTCAAAAATAAGAAGTTTACAGTATTGTAGAATAGTTCTATAAATCATGTAGCTCAAGCACTGGCTTTTAGCATATCCTTGTAGAATTATCTTGATAGAAAAAAATTCCCTGCCAATAACTATATAGTAGTTAAGCCTATTCAGTTGAAGGTGCTGCTCCGTTATTTCTTCAGGTATACAAGTCTATTTAAAAAGAAATTACCTCTGCATTTACTTAAGAGATCTGCTTCTGCCACTTTGTTCAGTGCAGCGTTCAGAAAGCTCAAGTAGTGTACAGACAGTTCTTGCTTTGTATAAATTATAAGCAGTAATATTTTTAATATAAATCGGTATTTCAAAAGATCCCTATTGGCAGCTATAATATTGCTGTAATTTTTTTTAAACCCTGGCAGTATGGATCCCGAATATCACACTGTAAGCCAGTTTCCATCTTGCTTTAGTACTTTTTAAACAATGATAGTAGAGGTGTTATTGTTTAGATATTTCAAAGCAGTTTTGATTATTAAAACAGTACTAGAATAGAGAGGAAACAGTCAATTTGATATTTGAACCCTATACTGCTTGTGTCATTTAACTTTTATGTAAAACGACAGTCAGTAAAATAGCTCACATTCTCACTTATACATTTTAATTTTCAATATAGTTTACACAATCTGTACACGTCTCAGCACTGCAAGCTCTTAAAACTGCTCACCAATAGGAATGCAGCTCACTTAAACAAATGGCAGATAGTACAGCTTCTCCAGTTCCTGGTACCAGTTTTCCTTACACTTCATTAATTTGTAGATAAATTAAGCATAAAGTGATCTCAAACACCTGATCTGTTGTAAAATGATGCTGTATGGGTAAACTTTAAGTCCAAGTAGTTTCATAATGTGTGTATAAATGTATATATAGAAAGACCGCAGGAAAGCTATTCTGTGAGGACCTTATCCAACTCCCACTGAAGTCAATGGGAACTAATTGCACAATGACTTAGATAAATACCTCACTACCTTCATGAATGAAGAGACCTAAAAGTGCCATCTCCTTCATAAATATGTTTTAGATCGTAATCACATATTATATTGCAAATAGAAAATTCCAAAAGATTAAAAGTCTGGCTTTGAATCCACAAAAAATGGTACAGTTCAACCAACAGATTTCACACATTCTGCTCTCCTGCCAGTTTCACACCTGCATCACTCCACTGACTCCAATGGATGTACACCACTGTAAGTGAAATCAGAATCAGGCTGTCCTCCAGTGTCCCACATTGAGCTTGAGCATTGCAGGGTCTGAGACTGACTGATGAGCTGTAGCACCATGTGCTTTTAACACACAACACAACAAACAGAGGATGGAGAAGAGAATGTCAATTGGACTTTGCATATTTTAAAAAAACACAGTATAATCTGTAAATTATAATGCACGTGAGCAGTACATGTACATACCAAAACCTTGTGGGAAAAGTTGCAGCTGCCCATTATAGTAGTCTTTTAAAAACTAAGTACGTTGCCTGCATACATAGTACTAACTCTACAAAATGTCCCATTTCTGAGCAGCAGAAACAGAAATATTAGATGCCCCAGAACTTCAGCAGTATGAAACCCCAAATTGTATTGATCATTTCTTCACAGTAAAAGTGCTGTGCTAATGACAATTGTTCCCTAGTTTTATCCAAGGTTAAGAGATACAAAGAAAGGAAAATTCTGGTTAATTCTGTGAAACAGAATTAGTGGGAGAGTCAGTGACCTGGATCTGACCAAACCTCTTAAACCAGTTAAAGGAACTTTCTAAAAAGGATTTTATTTAATTATTTTACAGTCTTTAATTGTTTGCTCTTCTCAGTGATTTTGTGATATCCATTCAAAACTCCACTCTTAGTGCTAATGATGTGGATTTTAATTGCTATGAAAAAAATTGAATTGGGAGATTTTTATTTTTCCTACTTTTAAATTTAAAAATTGTAGTTTTAGTACAGTTGAGATGAAAATGTTAAGTATCACCAAAGCCATTGGGACCTCAGAGCCCTGGTATGCCAGTATGGTTCTAAAACTTCTGTAGGAGCTATGCTTCCAGTTATATTAAAAAATGAAGATAAAATGTGAAATAAAAGCAAAAGAAAATGAATATGTAGAATATTTTACTTTTGTCAAACCTCAAATGCAAAGCATAAGAAACATGGTTCGGAATTTAAGAGCAGAAATATAAGCACATTTTTTTCTACCCCAGAAAAGTCCATATGTATGTTATAGTATTTAATCATTCTATTATATCAACTGGTATACTATATTAAATTATGTCATAAAGTAAGTAGTTACCATAAACTCATACAAATACCAGTGTTTTCTTGCCTTAGTGATGCTCATAATCTAGATCAAGCAAATGTGTTCTTTGGTAACTGGAGTAGGTTTATTTTGAGTACAAGTGCAGTACTGCTGGAAGGCTGCATTAGCTGCTCAGATCAGAAAATGGCAACTCCTGGAGACAAGGTTTGGGCTACTTTTGTCATAAGGGAAAAACATTAGAGGTTATCTAATGTACTGGCATTAAAAGTATTAATTCTGTGTGGTGACTTAAAAAAAGCAAACTCTCCCTCGTTCTATTCATTTGTTTAGTCTATACAATGTTTGGACTCTCATATATAAAGTATTTGACAGGTGGTAGTGTACAAATACACACTTTAAATTTTAAATTAAAGGATCTGTGTGGAGGATGGACATTCTGTGTTAACACTATTTGAATGTATTTGTAATAAAGTTTAAAGATTTGTTAAACTGGAATATTATAAGCCCAAAGAAGTGGTTCTTGATTTTTCATCATCCCTTTTTCAACAAAACAGAATATACAGTACATATACAGGTTGACATTTTGATTTATCCAAAACAATTGTCACTTTGCTTAGTTTTGCAAGTCCTATAGACTAAAACATAATACCATTCACAACAAAATATTTTCAGTAAGTGAAACAATAAAGCAAAGGAAACCAGAGCTAAACTCAGAAGCAAAGTCATTTTGAAAGCCTCATAACATCTATCAATCTATCTATCTATCTATATATATATATATACACACACACACACACCACACTGTAACCTTCAGTGAAGATGGACCTATTTTCTAATGAGGAACAAAAACATACTGTTTAAAAATTTTGCTAACTTAACAAAATGGGGAAGAAACTGCTGCTATCAAAATATACAATTTGATTTGCAGGCTAGAAGGCTAACATTATTAAAAAAATAGTTTTAAGCAAAACACTTTTGCTTGTAATAACAGCAGGTATCAACCTGCCATAGCACGAAGCATCCAAACAAGATCTTATAAAAGATTAAACTGTGACCCTTTCTTCATTTGTAAAGTTCGTGACAAATGCATACAGTGAGAGCCTTAGTCTCCAGACTGGAGTATCTTTCATATTTCTCAATCACACTCCACGAAATGAATGGCAGCCAGAGGATTCAGAATCTCAAATGGGATTTGTGCTTTACCATGTACCTGCAATGTTAACAAAAAACAGCATTAACAGCATTTTCTGGTAGTTATAGAAAGTGTTCATTCAAGGAACAATGCTGCACAGTAGGGAGAAAAGTAAAATTATTTTAAAACCTAATTCTTAGAACATTAACAAATGTTAAAAGATCCAAAAAAAGATTCTTCATGAGTCATGAAAGTTGTGTACAATGCTGTGTTCCATATGTCTGAAGGGAGGACAGTCAAATGTTTCCTTTCAGGGAACTCTGGCTTGGTTTATAGACCACAGAAATGGAGGGCTGGAAGGGACCTTGAGAGGTCATCTAGTCCAGTCCCCCCTTCTGAGGCAGGATCAAGTAAACCTAGACCATCCTGCTGACAGATGTTTGTCTAAACTGTTCTTAACCTCCAATGACAGATTACACAGCTTCCCTTGGGAGCCTATTCCAGAGCTTTATTATCCTTATAGTTCGAGTTTTTCCTAATATCTAACCTAAATCTCCCTTGCTGCAGATTAAGCCAATTACTTCTTGTCCTACCTTCAGTGGACATCCAGAACAATTAATCACCGTCCTCTTTATAACAGCCCTTAACGTATTTGAAAACTTGTCAAGTCCCCACCCATACCCCGTCTTTTTCTTTCTTTTTTTTTTTCCTGAAGACTAAATATGCCCAGTTTTTGTTTGTTTAATATTTCCTCATAAGTCAGATTTTCCAAGACTTTCATCATTTTTGTTGCTCTCCTCTGGACTCTCTCCAGTGTCTCTACATCTTTCGTACAGTGTGGTGCCCAAAACTGGATGCAGTGCTCCAGCTGAGGCCTCACTAATGCCAAGTAGAGTGGCACTTCCATGTCTTATTTATAACATCCCCATTAACGCACCCCAGAATGATGAGTCTTTTTTGCAACTGCATCACATTGATTTATATTCCATTTGTGATCCACTAACCCCCAAATTATTTTAATCAATATTACTGCCTAGCCAGTCATTCCCTATTTTGTAATTGTGCATTTGATTTTTTTCTTCCTAAGAACAGTACTTTGCACTCGTCTTTACTGAATTTCATCTTGTTGATTTCAAAGACCAATTCTCCAATTTGCCAAGGTAGTTCTGAATTCTAATCCTGTTCTCTGAAGTGCTAGCAATCCCTCCCTCCTTGATGTCATCCACAAATTATATAGGCATACTCCTCTCCATCATTAAGTCATTAATGACAATACTGAATAGTACTAGACCCAGGACAGACCCCCGTGGGACCCCACGAGATACATCCCACCAGTTTGACAGCACACCATTGATAAAAGATAGTTACCTTTTCCGTAACTGGTGTTCTTTGAGATGTGTTGCTCATATCCATTCCACAATAGGTGTGCGTGCTCGCCACGTGCACCGGTGCCAGAAGTTTTTCCCCTAGCAGTTCCTGTAGGGGAGCGCCCCAGCGACTCCTGGAGTGGCGCCACCATGTCGCGTTATAAGGGGCACTGCGCGCTCCTCCCACTCTCAGTTCCTTCTTGCCAGACAACTCCGATAGTGGGGAAGGAGGGTGGGATGTGGAATGGACATGAGCAACACATCTCGAAGAACACCAGTTACGGAAAAGGAAACTGTCTTTTCTTCTTCGAGTGATTGCTTATGTGTATTCTACAGTAGGTGATTCCAAGCTATAACTGTTGGTATCATACACTGAACGAACAAGCAGTTTTGGGGACGAGCTGCAGCAAAGCTGGAGCAGAGCTGTTCCGAAGCACCTTCACTGGCGGCAAGAAGGAACTGAGGGTGGAGGGAGCGCACATGGAATATACATGAGCAATCACTCGAAGAACTGTCTTTTCTTCTTCGAGTGATCGCTCATGTGCATTCCACAATAGATGAATCCAAGCTATACCTGTTGGAGGTGGGTAGGAGTTCACAGATGGAGCATTGCCCTGCTGAACCCAGCGTCCTCCCTGGTCTGGGAGACGATCGCATAATGCAAGGTGAACGTGTGGACCAATGACCATGTAGCAGTCCTACAAATGTCCTGAACAGGGATGTGAGCTAGAAAGGCGGCCGACGAGGCTTGCACCCTTGTCGAGTGCACTCTCACAATCGGTGGGGGGGGAATTCCCGCCAGGTTGTAATAAGTGCGGATACATGAAGTGATCCAGCTGGAGAGCTGCTGAGTGGAGATCGGCCGATCCTTCATGCATTCGGCCATGTCGATGAACAGCTGTGAAGACTTCTTGAACGGTTTTGTTTGTTCCAGGTAAAATGCCAGGGCCCATCTCACATCTAGCATGTGGAGATGGCGCTCCTCACTAGACGTATGGGGCTTGGAACAGAGCACCGGAAGGAAAATGTCCTGGCTTACATGATAGCAGGAGACCACCTTGGGGAGGAATGAAGGGTGTGGGAAGAGCTGGACCTTATCTTTATGAAATACCGTGTACAGGGGTTCGGAGGTCAGGGCTAGCAGACGTGATTGCCACAAGAAAGGCTACTTTCCATGAAAGGTAGGACCAGGAGCATGTGGCAAGTGGCTCAAATGGAGGCCCTGTCAGCCTGGCCAGAACCAAGTTCAGGTCCCACTGTGGGACCGGGGGCCTAACATAAGGAAAGAGGGGATCCAAGCCCTTAAGGAATCGACCAGTCATGATGTGAGAAAATACTGTGTGGCCCAGGACTGGCGGGCGGAAGGCCGATATGGCTGCCAGATGCACTTTGACGGACGAGGACGCTAGGCCTTGGGCTCTGAGATGAAGGAGGTAATCCAGTATAAGCTGGAGTGGGGCAGCCACTGGTGAGACGCCGTGATCGGCAGCCCACCAGGAGAACCTTTACCATTTTGCCAGCTAAACGACAGTCCAAATAGGGAAAACTACAGCAGAGAGCTGGAGCACAAGCAGTTCCGAAGCACCTTCACTGGCGGCAAGAAGGAACTGAGGGTAGGGGGAACACGCAGCGCCCCTTATACTGTGCCATGGTGCCGCCACTCCAGGAGTCACTAGGGACGCTCCCCTACGGGTACTGCTAGGGGAAAAACTTCCGGCACCGGTGCACATGGCGAGCACGCACACCTATTGTGGAATGCACATGAACAATCACTCGAAGAAGTACTACTCTGAGTACAGTCTTTCAAATAGTTTTGTGCCCACCTTATAGTAATTTCATCTGGACGACATTTCTGTAATTTGCTTATGAGAATGTCATGTGAGATTGTGTCAAATGCCTTACTGAAGACATTAAATTACATCTGAAATTATAAGACTATAAGAAAAGGAATCTAAAGTTCATTTTGATCAGTCATTTCTGGGAAGCCTTTAGAAACATTTGTGCAGTTATTTGTGGAAGATGTTGATGGGGAGATAAAAAAATAATGAAGTTTGGAAATGAGTGATTTCACTGGGATTTTCAGAGAAGCCTGAAGGAATTCTAACTTCAATGGGATTTAGGTGCTTTAGGCAGTTTTGAAAATCCCAGCCTTGTTTAAATATTTTGCTGTTAAACAATCACAGTATCAAAATCAAACTAAATTTACAAATTGATACAATAGGCTCATCTGTTTTCTTAATGTTTATTGAACTGCTACATGGGAAATTGTTCATAACACTTGTTCCTCAAGCTCCTTCTCTACATTATGAAAAAACTGTAGGTATGGACTTAGTATTAGTAGATGGTTTAGCAGCAGTTTTACCATCACACTCTTTTGAATTAAACTGACACTTTTCATTCCAAGAAGACTAGTTATTCCCCCTAGGTCTATCTGTACTTTTTTGGAAATTTAAGGTGGCTTTGCAGTGTCATAATCATGAATAGCAAGCAGTATTTTGTCTCCAAGCTATTGCTTGGATCTTTGTAAGATATACAATTTTCCTTGACACCTTATTCTCCCTCCCCACAAAAAACTCATAGTAAAAGTTTTCAGCGTATTTACCTGTCCAAAGTTTCCCAGAAACGTAGGAATACTGGTCTGTCCAAGTGCCGTTTGTGATAGCTTAATTCTAATACTGTCACATCCCATTTCTGTACATTTGGATCTAGACGTACTTCATCATACTTGAGATGGAAAGCTTTAACTACAGGACACAAGGGAGCAATAATTAGATTATAATCATTCTCATTGGACAAAACAAAAAGTTCTTCAGTTAAGAATGCACACTAGAAAATGTAATTAAGGGCACACAGTCATGTCTACATAGGGGACCCATGACCCAACTCTCTTACTATACATCAGGGGTGGCCAACCTGAGCCTGAGAAGGAGCCAGAATTTACCAATGTACATTGCCAAAGAGCCACAGTAATATGTCAGCAGCCCCCCATCAGCTCTCCCGCTCCCAGCTCCTCCAGCCCACTGGCAGCTCTGCTGATCAGTGCCTCCCCCTCCCTCCCCGCACCTCCTGATCAGCTGTTTCATGGCATGCAGGAGGCTCTGGGGGGGAGGGGAAGGAGCGAGGGCATGGCAGGCTCAGGGAAGGGGGTGGGAAGGAGTGGAGTGGGGGCAGGCCCTGTGGGAGAGCCAGGGGTTGAGCAGTGAGCATCCCCTGGCACATTGGAAAGTTGGAACCTGTAGCTCCAGCCCTGGAGTTGGTGCCTATACAAGGAGCCACATATTAACTTCTGAAGAGCCGCATGTGGCTCCGGAGCCACAGGTTGGCCACCCCTGGCATATATCATACTAGCAATGCTATGATTATGGGTGAAGTGGCAGTCCCTATTTTTAATGCACAGAGATTCTTGGAAAAATAGCTCGTTGAGCTGAAAGCAAGTCAAACGCAATTTTTTGGGGGGCGTGGGGTGGGGAGGGGGGGCCTGACATTCTGTTTAGCCATTTCTGAGATGAAAATCAGTAAATTTAACCTGAGTTGCTTGAAAGTGAACTACTAGAGGGACATTTAGTTTGCATAAATTTAACTTTTTGTGCATAAACAATCTTCTAAACAGCAAATCTATTAGCCTACATGAAAGAGTTATTATTTTGACTCAGTGCAAAAGCATTAATTTTCTGAACACTATAGAGGTCAATAAAATAATTTAAGGAAAGGAAAACACAGCATTGCTTTATTCAATAGCCTACTAGAATTACTTACAACAAGAATGCAGATCACAATTATATCAGATCCAGTAGTAGGATTCTTGTTATGTTCTGTGTTCACAATGTTGGGCTCAGAAAACATTATTTCCCTCCCAGAAGCAGAATCCTCCTCCTTTTACTCCCCTTATTACATCTGCTCTGTCTTAGTGTGTACATTTGAGGTTGAGATTTTAACTTCAAATACCACACAAATATATAGTAGGGTTCCGCCTCCCACTCCAGGCTGTTGCCTTCTCTCCAGGCTTGCTTCACTTCTTATTACTGGTGTCTACTGAAGACATAATGCAGCGTTTATCAGAGCTGAGACTCTAGGACCCATTACAACACTTTGTAACATTGATGCATAAGTAGTGACCACCAGAGCTTTTATTCTGGACTATAGCTGCTGCCCCATCCTGTCAAAGAAGAGTACTGCTCTCACACTGCTGTGGTTGTGGGTAGCCACTGATCTGAATAGTGCTACCCTGCTCAATATCAGTATTCCTGTGGGTGGCTCTTGGCTCCTCGTGAACTGAGCATGCTGCTATAGTGATTTTCAATAATGCATTCATGAGTCTCAACTCTGATACACACTCTACATCTGCAGAAGAAATGAGTTAAAACTGATGAGGCTGCTTCCCAACCAAGGACAAGTCTACCTTCATAATGCTAAACATACATTGAGCTCTGCAGCAAGATAATATTCACTGTTTACATATTCATTTGTACAAATGGTATCTTACGCTGTGATATCATCAGATCTCAAATTATTTTAGGTCAGTCCCAATCAGTATTATGATAGAACTTCAAGGTAATCCTAAGGTGCTGCAGGAAGTGTTTTTAATGATTCAGTGGCTGACACTTACCTCTGAGTTGGTATTCGGCTAATGCAC